AAACATCTGGGAAAGAAAGCTATGAAACAGCAGGGAACGTGGCTGGTTTATTGTTTATCTTTTGTTTATGAGGCAGTATTCAAGTTTAATTACTACTCTAAATTAAACTCTAACTGGCATCAGGAGACATCCCCTTACATGACTAAGGAAAAAAAAAAAAACCCCTGGAAATTCCAACTCCAGGTTTTTCAAATAAGTTGTTACATGCATGAAGAAATCATTCAAAATTACCAGCAACTACAGAAAGCTTTTAAGAACTTATGGGCAACAGTAAATAAATACTTCTATGAGAAAATCTGGTTTTGTTTCTAATGATTACTTTTCAGAAAGTCCTAAGAAAATCAATAGACAGTAGGTACTTGCTGATGACTACAGGATGGGTATTCTCTTCCTTTTTATTTGGAGAGGGAAAAAAAAGCAGAAAGCAAAGGTAACAGAGGCATACTACACACGACAGCTTCTTCTGTGGCAATGTTCAGTGATCAATTAAGCACTCAGAATTGTTTTGATACACTTAGGGGTACAGGAAGGAAAAGAAATGTCACTATATTTATCACAACAGTAAGTGACCAGTTTTGGATGAACTTAGCTCTAGGAAAATAAAGTTAAAAGCAACCAGCAAAAGATTATGCCAGATGGCATCTGTCATATTGTATTTAGGGTTATTTTAAAGAGCTTGCTGCCACTATGAAAACATTCCACTGACAAAGTTCTCCTAGACTGAATAAGAAATCTCAGTAGAACACACTCAAGACCTACAGTAAGTGGGTCTGAAGGTTTTCCTCCCTCCTTTAAATATGTGACTGGAATATTTCCATGGGGAAAATACTATTTTCTAACCATCACACACATTGTAAACTCAAAAGTGTACTATTCTTGTGGGCCTTGGCTTTCCGTTAAGGGTTTCATATTCACTATTCAGATCTTCAGAGATTTTGACGTTGTGATGGATGAAAAGCTATGTAATAAATAAACAGTGTCTAGTTTCTGAATTCGAGCTGCTTTGCCTGGAAGTCAGGTAGGGGCATGCATGCAGGGGTCTGCCGTGTGACAGAGTTGATGTGAAGTATATGAGCTTTTAGAACCCTGTGTTCTGAAAGACCAGAGTCACACATGCTAGAATGCTAATATATTTAGGTTACACTGGGTCTGGCAACAGTATGGTTAACGTGCGTGTGGTGTGCAGTGTGAGCTCAGCAGTTACTGGGCCAACTGTCTCGGTATTTCTGGGAATCCTGCCTATTCACAGTGCAGGGATTGTTCAATTGCTGCAAAATGTACAAAATGAATTTTACAAAAATGAATTGTAAGGAAGGCCCCATTACAACGATTTTACAGCAAAGATGTCAACATCAATTTTTCTTTCATGCATAGCTAATGATTAAAACAGCATATTCTATTTGCCTAAGACAATTTATTTCATATTGGCACATCAAAATATTGAAATGCAAAGTTATCTTTACTCTACCCTTTCTATTCATCGCTGCTGAACCCATACCATTGTTCAAATCAGGAAAAATAAAACAAACTTGGCACAAAATACTTAAAACAAAGGCTCATCAATATTCTCCAATTTGTCAACATCTCAATTACAGCACTGGAAAAAATGTAAATTTCATGTGCTCTAAACACTGAGGGGTCTATTCTCTTGCCAATTCGCATGCGTAACTCCCATCAGCATTAATGGGAGTTACACAAACCCATCAATAATAATAATACTTTGCACATATATTGTGCCTTTCATCTAGGGCTCTCAAAGTGCTCTAGGAACAGGGGGGCTGCTTCCTAGTCTTTACTTTGGCAAAATACACAATGAAATACAAAGCAGCTTTTGACTCAGCAGGTTACAGAATTAGGGAACCCCAAGCCTTATTATCAAGCCCCATTTTACTGATGGCAAGTCAGACACAAAGAGGACCAGTTACTTCCCCAGAGCCTGGAGTCTGCACCCTAATTTCACCTTTGGAAAAGCCAGATTTCCTTCCTCATTCTAATGTGACGAACACAGCAAACGCCATCCTTTTGGCTGCTTTTAGTAGGAGAAATCTGAGTGAATGAAGTCTGGTTCATATTTATATAGTTTACTACTAGGCATGTGCTCTTTGAAAGCAACAACCAAGTTTATTTCTTACAATATTTTAAAAATGTGATGGGTTTCCCCCTTCCTTTGGGTTTGGTGCATAAATACTGAGGAAGAAAAGATGACCTTTCACCTGTGTAACTGTAGCTCTTTCACTATCAGGCCATAAAATGAGGCATTTTTAGGTTTCAAAGTAAAGATTCATATGCATCAGTGCAGTACGAACATTCACAAAAATTATAAAGCAACGTAAATGCATGTATTGTTTTATAGCATATGGCTATTAAAGTTTAATTTAAAATGTGTATGAAAACATTGTATTTAGTATAATTCATCCCTGTTTTTCTTGTTTATCATAATTTGTTTTGAAACTGAATCATTTTACAGTTTTCCATATGCCTGTTGTGCTAATAAATCCTAAATAAGCAAGAAAACTCTTTTCTAAACTGCAAACTGGGTTTTCATTTAAACATTATATTTAATACCAAGAACATACATTTCCCTCCCAGGTTTTCCATTATATGTCAACCCTAAGATTTAACTTAGAATAAGCATATGTGATTTCAGTCAATATTTCTGTTGACTTTGCCCTGAAGCAGATAATTAATCTTTCCCACTGAAAGCTACTCTGGACAATTCAGTGGGACAAAATAACAAAATATCTTGAAAGCATGCTTCAAAACTCATATGGGTGTGCATGAATATGACAAAGTACACTCAAGTCTGGCCTTCAAAACTTGAAGTCTGCACTGAAATGGCAGAGGATTCTGATCCATGTGACTTCATTCCTAATGAACTAAGCCAGGTAGGAAACGCTCCAGGCCAGAACATTCTCCATTTTATGGGAATCATAGTATTTTCCTCTTCAACTTTAATACATTAACTACTGACTTCCTAGTGCTCCTACACATAAGCTACCATGTCCATTCTTTAATCCCACAGAGATATGACCAAAGGAACAAAATCCCACAGGGATCAAATCCTTCAACATCGGATAAGTGGGTGCAGCTACCCTGCAGTGGAGGGTTTGTGTGTATTGCTTTCGTCCAGTGTTTATCAGTCTCAAAGTTCTCTCTCCTGACAAAAACAAACAAAAAACACAACAACAAAACTGATGAAACTTCATGCTTTGCTTGTTGCTGCTACAACTGTGCCTTGCTCTAAATCTCAGGGTCTTCCCTCTCCCACCCTCTTCTCTTCTGGCTCTTTCCTGCCATCTCTCTTGCCATAACTCAACTAACCCAACAGAACCAGTCAGTTTTAAATTTCAGTTGGGACCTTGGTGACCTGTTAATGAATCTACAGAGAGGAGAAAAACTCACAGTGTTGAGTTATGCCTGGTGTTGCTAGCTGACTGGGAGTCAGAAATGCTTGAAGCGTTAACGTAATTGCAAGAATGTGAAAAATGAAGCGCTGGGCTCCTGAGCGGAGGGAAAGGTCAAAGTGAGCCTCACACACACAAGAAGTCTCTGGAAGACAGCCTCATTAGACCATTAAGTCTGCTTTTCCCTTCCTGGCTTTGCTGCAATATTTAGAGTGTTTTGTTTCTCTTATTATATACTTTTCACCTTTTGCATTGCCACAGTTTGGGGCAACAAGGAGGATGGAGCCATGCAAAACTTTCCAGATTTCACAAGAGAAGTCCATTGCTGTACCATGGAACCACAATTAGAGCCCTGGCATTGTAGATCCAATGAATCTGTGAGACGTTGCCTTCAAAATGCCTTACAATCTAGTCCCTTGGATATATAGTATAACTGATCTCATTGAAATAATATACAAAACCTGAGTAGATACAATTCAGGACTCCTATAATTTACCATTTGATAGTATTCATCCTTGTGTCACTTGCAACTTGCTTAAACCTGGAACCTATTTTGGACCCATTCATAAGCAAACGGTGCCCTAGAAAGTTACTTTTTCCAGATTCTTCTGGAATTCCTAGGAATCCTGGGCGAAACATGAAAGGTGAAATACACCTATCCCACATCAACATTCTGCCTTCAACTAGTATCTGCATCTCCAGCTCAAGCCGTTAAACTGTTCCCTACTTGGAATCCTGTCTAATGCTTAAACATTTTGGCCATAAACACAGTCATCATAGAGATTAAATAGACCTAGGAGATCAGACCCTATCTCACGTAAAATATTAAAAAGTAAAATCTATACACTTTCCTGGCCCATATCCAACAACGCCTCTTCCTCTAAGGGTCCTTTTAACCATGTAAGAGTCACCCTTTCAACTTCATAATTGTCCTTTGTGCAATAGGTGAATTTTAAATGGCAAAAGTTATTCTAAGTTGCACTAGTCTGCCTTGACATAGACAGTTGATATACTCCTTACCCTGTGGTTATTCTAGTTTTTAGAACTTGTGCTGAAAGTCACCATGTCAGCTGAATGGAAATGGGGCAAAACACTCTTCTACTAGTTCCAAAAGCCATTTCTCCAGGATTGCTTTGAAATTCCTGCAGCATTTCCAGAATTGTTAAAGAAGAGGTGTTTTTTTTTTTTTTGTATCCTACTTGTTTTTTCAGCATAACTGTTTGACTACAGAGAACTCTTAAAGACAATCTTACATATAAAATAACCTGTCTATAGAATCACTCAAACTATTGCATTACAGCAATGAGGCTGTGCTATCATTCCATTTACTTATATACACAGAAATGCAGAAAACCAAATTTGTACGAGAATTGGCAGAACGAATCAATTATTGTAATGCCTACTTGAAGATTAGAAGACACACTTTTCCTTTTTTTTTTCAAGAGGAAGAAACACTGTCTCCCTAACCAGAAGCTGACTGTACTCCCTAACCTGCCACTCTCCTGTTGACACAGAGGCACATGTTCTGATGCCATAAAATACTGCAGTTATTTTAGTCATGCCTGCTTTGCACAAGGAACATGCTTGACCTTTTACCTTGCTCACTGCTGTTGTCTCCACTCTGGGAGGCATGGCCCCCACTGGAGGGTCCTGGGGTGCCTGCTGAGTGGGTTGAGGTTGCATCATCGTGGTCTCGCCAAGATGAAGGGTTCTGATGTCAGATGTCAAGGAAGCAATTTTTCCACAGTTACCATTTCCGTAAATGAGGAACCAAGAGGAAAGGTGCAGAGAAAGACAAAAAAAAAAAAAGTGTACACATTAGTGTTGCTGGAATTGGGCACACATGTATACCATGCCATACTGTGTTTTCAGATCTTTTAAAAAGGAGATGCTCTAGAATTTGATGAGGGATTAGTTACATCAGTATATACATTTATTAAAACCAACTGAAATATTTGCTTCAAATGTGTCCATTTTATTACATACAAATTTAAACCACAATGTAGTTAATGTTAAAGTTAAAATAGTCTTGTTCACATAATAAAACACAAATTTTAAAAAGTTACTCCCCACAAAAAAAGAACAAAATACTTTTACTCGTTATCTTAACTATAGCACACTCTTCCAAGAAATAGGTCCCCATGCACTTGCATGTTAAGTACTTTAGGACAGGTATTTCTACAAAACTCAACTCACTCAAAGAAAATCCCAGGCTGTGGAATGAACAGAACAGCCCTTCATCTTTCAACTGCATTGCCCTAAAACAATCTATATGAATTCTCAAAATCGTCACCAACGGGTTGATTACATATATGACCAGCAGATGCAATATCAATCACCACATCACTATTGAATAAATGATCAATTTCTGCTTTAGTTTGCACAAGTGACTATTTTAAAATGTAACAAATATGAGACTTTAGTCATCCAGTAAGCTAGACAGGACTTTTCACCAGAGTGTCATGGCAGCTTTAAATTCACCGAGCACACCTTTTGCTGGAAGAGCCACTTGTTTCCAGGGACACACAAGGCAAACGAAGAGTTATAGCTCAAGCTACTTTGCTGAGTATATTCTTCCCCTGTTTCTCCTCCCCTTTCCTGATCATTCCCAATACCCTGCTGTTGCTTAAAGGAAAACAGGAATTCTAATGTACAGGAAGGACTTTATCAGCACCGCATGAAGGCAGGCAAGGGATGGAATTTCCTCCAGCAGAAATGGAGAGTAGGAATAGCATATAAAAGACCAGCCTGGCGGCCAGAGCTGGACACTTGTCACCTGTATGAAGCAACTTCAACTAAGCCTGAAGAAGTGTTAGCAAGTGAATTATTTGGGTGTCCGTGGAAATAGGGGGAAAGAAGCAAAGTTACAAAATTATCAAAATAGATTACTGCTTCTTAGAATTAAATTTAACAGAAGGAAATAAACATTCAGACAGATCCACACACATACATGCAACATGCAATCCTCTTGGCAATCGGAAAATTATTGGTATGTTGCCATTTTATATAATTTATCAAAATATCTTTTCTTTTTCTCAGCAAAAATTCTGTAATTTACAGAAAGCATAAAATGTCTTACCAATATAAAAACAAGAAACTCAGGTGAGGCAAATACTCTTTATTTGAAATAACAATGTTTTTTAAAGAAAAAAACCCACAGCCTTATTTTCTTCCCTACGGATCTGTTACACATTGATTGTAAATTCATATCTGGCATTCTTGATAGATGATGAAGCAACTCAGATGTCTATAGATTAATATCATCTTTATCAAATAATGATGCTGAAACTATCATCAGGCAAGCAACTGATTCAAAGTGAAAACCCTGAACAGTTATTTCATGACTATAAATACAGCCCCGGTATAGATCTATCAAAGATAAGTAAAAGAAAGTAGACAAAGGAATCAAATTAAGAGGACTAATATAAAAACCAAGGTTCTCAGCTGTCTGTATTAAGAAACACATGCCTCTGAACTCTTTTTTGTCTAAGTTGGAAACTACTCCAATAGTTTCATGCTAAAGGCAAACAGAATACAGCTCTTTAAGCTTTGCTGCCTCTTCGTGCCAGCTGTTTGCCGGACGGTAATCAGATAAAGGGCAGGAAGAATTACTGAGAAGGGGACTGAGGGGAGAAAAAAGTATAGCATAATAATGGTATAACAACAGCTAAGTCCTGCAACAACACATGCTAGAGCCTTCTTTTGGAAATGTAGTTAAGTACAACACATTCGCCTAAGCTAAACTTTTCTGTGTACAGAACAAGTGGTGTTAATTTTATGCACTGCAGGCTTTTTATTAAGCTGGCTGCTAGAAAAGCTCCTTACCCCTTACGAAAATTATAATTAGCCACTAACACCTCAACTATGTTTTAAGACAAATGTCATCCAATTGCTATTATATTATCATTCAATGATGCTGGGGAAAATCTTTCTGTTTAGGCACTGCAATGACTCAAAGGGACAGTGCAAGTACTTCCTAAAACTGACCATACTTCTTTGCTCCTATCATCAAAACCTGGGTTAAGCTTTAAAGTCAGGCCTCATTAATTTATAATTCAATGTATTACTTTGGATGGTTTGTTGTAGGAGATGTTTTCTAAAGTAAAGCTGTGAAAAAGAGCCACATAAGCAAATATGACTTTCAGGATAGCTGGTTTCTCCACAGAAGTTGGGTCTTTGGTTTTCAGACCGGTCTCCAAATTTACTCAAGTAATCCACCATTCTGCCTCCTCTCACTCTCACCCCTCAAAATGCTCTCCTGGAAATGTGTCAGAGAGTGTCTCAATTATTATGGCCTAGTTTTAAAGACAGGCAGAAACTAAAGAGTCTCACAAGATATCCATTTAATTTGAAAGATGGAAGAAAAGGCAAACCCTGCCAGGTGCCAGGGCTGAGGAGCTTCTCCAAGTTGTTTGCATTCTCCTCTGATGGTGCTAGGATTATTCAAAATGACAGAGACCAATGATCACTATACAACAAAAAGCTGGCTGTTGAGTGGCAGACGTGTTATAGCAGGGTAACAACGGTAAGCTGCTGCTAGTGGAATGTCTGCATCCTATACTGGAGTGCAAAGTTTAAGTCCTGCTCTCCCTAGGCCAGCTTTCTGTTAATGAACATTCTGGGAGGCAGCAGATGACGGATCAGGTGCCAGCATCCCTCCCAGCCACATGGGAGGCCCAGGATGGAGTCCTGCACCCCTAGCTTTGCCCTGACCCAAGCCTGGCTGTTGAGAACCATTAGGAAGTGAACCAATGAATGGAAGCATGATCTCTCCCTCTCCCTCCCTCCCTCTCTCTCTCTCCTGTATGTGTATGTGTGCATCACACTTTCAAATAAACACATTTAAAAACAAATTTAAAAAACCTCTGGTCATAAAAAAAAATTTAATCTATGTGACCCATTACCCACAGTACTGATTTTTTTCCCCTTAGATTGAAATATTTGTATCTCAACTCCTCCCCCACCCATGTCCTACCAGATAGTTTCCCAGTTTACATCCTTCAAGAATAACTGCCTGGCTCTCTGCCAAATTACATGCAGAAGTGTAGTGAGTCCTGAAACCAAAGAGTTATTCGAAAGCATGTAAAAACACATGGCCTGTGTAGAAAAATGAAGACAAGTGCAGTCTCTGTGCATGTGTGTAAATGAATACGCAGGTCTAGGCATTCCACAAGACATATCCCGTCTTCCAGCCTGAAGTACCAGCAAGACACCCGAGGGCAAGGAGTGAACACGTTTCTATTCCCAGTGGCTTTAATAATTGAGAGTCAAATATGGGCCTCTTCTTGCTCTTACGTAATTGTGTTAAAGAGCAGTGTTACTAAGAGAGAAGCAGCGAATACTGAGTGCAGCACAATAGAAGGAGATGGAAAATAGATACAAGAAGCTAGGTCTCCAGGGGCAGTATTTTCTATTTGCTGGGCTACAGACTCACAGCTGATAATGCAAGTTGTAATTAATATAAAAGCAGGAGACAATACGGGCAGAGCTTGTAGTAGCAGGGCCACAGGAGAGCGCTCTGCAACTCTCCTCGGTTTCTCATTTACACACAGCTTTCCTAGAAAACACAATTCTGCCACTGTTTTCTCCCTGGAAAGTTAAAAAAAAAATTGATTCTGCACCATCATGGAATTCTGCTAAATCTAGAAAAGAGCTCAGAGAGGCCAGAAGTCTCTTGGCATGGGAAGCAAATTATCTGTGTACCTCTTCTGTTGAGGCTGCAGATTTGGCGGAATTGTAATATTGTAAATCATGATGGCATTTGTGTGACTCGCCTATAGAACAGGACTTATCAAGTCTTAGTGAACTGGTAGCATTCCTCTTTTAACTGATTCTACACAACGCATCTGTCCAGTTTCTAAATACATACAAAGCCGTGTGGGGAAGCAAAATGTATAAAGCCTCAAGGAAGAAAAGAAAATGCCAATCCTCATTCATGTTCTATCTCAAATAACCTGATGCTCATTTTAGATCCAAAACGAGCAGGTAGTTCAATGCATACGGCACAGAAGAGAAAACCTTCGACTGGAATGAAAGCTCCAGGGTGTGACCTCTCACCGACCACGTGACCCTCAGCTGGGGTGCACCTCATTTTTCAGGGACTCCTTCCTTTTACCTCTTTAAAATGTAGAAGTCAGAGAACACAATCCCTAAAATGATTTCTACCTCTCATTTGATTAGAGATACTTACACAATATGAGGGCACACTGTAAAAAGATCTTCAGGTACTATGATAGATTTAACTCTTTTGCAATAAAAGGAATACATAGTTTGATCTCATTCTCCACAAACTTTCAGCCATGTCTCCACACACATTAAGGTTCAAGAACCTACACAGCTGCATAACATCAAATAAAACATTGCATATGAAAATGAAAATAGAGTAAATTCTGGATATGCCTATATTTATAAAGTCCTAGTTAATACATGTATTTAATCAGAAAATGAAGCAGGCAAAGTTAATTTAACTCAATATTCTTCAACAGCAAAGGGGAAGTATACCTGGATCAACACAAGTAGTAATTGCTACTTATTTTTTATGATGTGATAATGTTTTAATTTTTAACTTTAAACAAAACAATTTTTAAAGAATAAGACGTAAATTTATCATGCAACATTCAAAACAGCAAAAGTTAAAAATATCCATTGTATGGTTTGAACAAATGTTGGAATTTCAACTTTGTTATTCTAAAGTTGACATAAGAACTCAGGAGACGTGTGTGCTTCCAGACCCTGGACTCATTCTTCAAAAATGTAAATAGAACCTGGTCTTTCCTTTGTCGCCTCACTTCCACCCCTTCATTAAGCTTTGGGAATTAATATGAGGGGGTCTTCAAAATATTCATGGAAAATATAGATTGTATAAAAAAAATCTACACATGGATTTAAAAATGTTTTCTACTACCAAAATAACCTTATCTTTTCGTCTAGTTCTTCATGAACTTGCCAAAGTATTCTCATATTTTGGGCGACTCTCACAGAAGAGGCAAGTCCCATTCAAAATTATTTCCTTTATTTACTGGAGCGATTCTTAAAGAAGACAGAGATATCTTGTATTGCTGGTATAAGACCACATTATAAAAGGCCTTCTGTAATTCTAAATTGTGTTCAGATATCCAGCAAAGCACTCAGCAAAAAAAAAATATGAACTTAAGAATATCACTTATAAAATCTTGTGATATCTATGTGGTTATCAAGTGTGCCTTTGACTAACTTCATTTTATCTCAGTGACACTGAAGATACTTCACGGCACAACCTAAAAGACTTAAACAGTATAATTACTCTTGATAGAAAATTAACAGGAAAGTTATCAACCACCAGAAAAGACCGGGCAACAACAGCCAACACCAGCAAACTTCTGTCTTCCCTCCCTACCTGGCGGTGCGTAGTCAGAGCTCAGAGGTAGAACTTTATCTGACTGGGTCGCCAGAGGCCCTGGCTAACACATCATGAGGTTTAATCACACTAGAACCTTAGAACCGTTGACAAAATGAATCATTCAGATTATTAATACTCTTATCAAAATTCCTTATTTCCTTCTTGATCTGCTATAAACCAACCCTGGAAGTTTTCCCTTTCCTACCTGTAATAGGATTTACCTACAGGCACCTGCCAGTATATAGTCAAGAAGAAGATTCTAGAGATTCTTCTTCCTGACCCAACCCATTTAAAAAAAACTGGATCAACATATATAGTTTGGAAAATCCAGAGACACTAAAGAAAAACACCTGTCTTTATTTAAATTATTACTTTCAAGATAGAAATTCAAATAATCATTTAGTAGTGACGTTATCAGAGCCAATCAACTTTCAGGCACTTTCCATTAACTCTTAACAGACATAATTGCATTTTCTTTCCTCTTCTGAATTCATTCAAAGAAAATAAAATGTAGCTCTTTATGGTCACTAATTAGGAATAACAACATAATTGTCTGTACGCACCACAAGCAAATAAAGCTCAGCTTGGAGAATGGTTCAAGCAAATGTTTCAAGTGTCCCAAATATCTGAAGACAAGTAATGTTTTGATATGGAAATAAAAAGACATATTTCATTTCTCTGCACTAAATCTAAAAGTTTGATCCAAAATTGAGGAAATACAGGTATCATACAGAATACAGCTATAATATATTCAGAAACACTGCAGATTAGGCAAAGTATGATTATTTTCAAACAGTCTCCAAGTTGAAACTTAAAAAAATTGTTCTTCTGGCATATTTATTTTAGATATGAAAAATATGAATGCCTGGGAAACTGAACATGAAGTACAGCTGGAAAACAGAGTTCTGTTTCCTTTGGCTATCATTTTTTTTCTTCATAGTATTCCAAAGAATACTGTAATAACTGTGTATGATAAAGATACATTAAAAATATAAGCATTATGAATTTATTGATCACACAAACAGTAGCAAATGCTGATTATCCTAATTTCTTTTAATTCCAAATTTCCTCTCATCAGTATGCCCATCAGGTATAAATGTGAATAATTAATGAACAAATTCAAATATAAAGAATAGAAAGTAAGGCTATTATGATATCTTAATATATCTATGTCACATCAGATTTTTATATACCATTATAAGTGTGAAATTAGCATGACATACTAAATATAGCATAAAAAATTAATTCTTTCAAATCAACAATATTTGCTTTGATATTTATATCCATCACTTTATTTGGTTATCTTTTCAAATTATTTATAAGAAAACAGAATACTACATTGGGACCTAATATTTTGCACTGAGAGAATACTGCTCTATCTGCTGCACAGAATTAGACACCTATTCTTCCTTTTCTCTTTCACGCTCTCTCCTTTTCTTCTCCTCCTCCTTCCTTAAACACACACAATGTTGCCTGATACCACTTAATAAGGATAGAGGTGTATGTGTTTTGGGGGTGTCAAACAGCTGTCACAAACTGTCACCTCCACAAGAGAAACCTTGGCACACAACAAATTAAACTACACTTCTTTTTTAGCTGTCATTATTCATAGCCAATAAGCTGAAATGCTCTCAGCATTTCATGTGCAAATAAAACCACGAAGAAGCTCAGTAGATCAGAGTAGTGGGCCAACAGATAAAACAGAGAAAACAACACGCTGTCTGGGTCCTTCTGAAGTGGCTCATCATCACTCCTGCGCTAGCATTCACCAAATGAGATGCAGCCTGGGGCAATGTATTAAATATGCATATCAAAGCAAATGAAAAAATAAACCTGAAGATTCAAGTTGGACACATTTACATGCTGAAAATGTCCCACCCCTACCACCTCTCAGGGAGTGCCTCTGTTTTACTTTTTTGTGTATGTGGCTGGGGTGGGAAGGGGGAGCAATGCTGCAGAGCCTGCAAAGCACACGAGGATTCCCTGTGCACGAGGAAGCCTGGACATGAATACAGTCCACACACCTCTGCTGCAAAAGTCTCAAGAACGGTAAAAAGGTTTTCTCTTAGGTCCTGCATAAAATACGAGTCCGCGGCAAACCTCTCCATCTCCCAGTCAGTGTGCTGGTGGAACAAATTATTGCTTCATTTCAAAACAAATAGCAGGGGGCTAAAGTAAAAATGTTATAGTTCAGATCTGCAGGAAATAAAAGGCTCTAAATTATGACGCCCGATGAGGTGGCAAGCCCTCCTCATGGGTTCAAAATAAATCAGTTGTCATATTTACTTGATTTGGGGTTTGAAAGGGGAGCAACAAATGTAACAGTTGACTGTTTTATCCAAAGAAGATTATTGCTGGGTTATCAAAGCACTGTCTCCTCTTAGGTACAACTTCTTTCTTGAGCATACATTTAAATATTAATAATGCCACAGATCAGCACGGTCAACTAGCTAATACTCAAAACAGCCTAGTTTATACTGCCTGTTCCACATAAACATCAGCATGCTCTAGCTCTATACCACCTTTTGGAGCAACACTTGACAAGAAATTGATCTAGAAAACAAGGTAAGTGGAACCCCTAGGAATTTCATGAGAAAAGTTTTCGGCACGCAACTGCAAACCTCTTTTTCTACAAACCATGTAACTAGAGCCCAATCATGTAAATGCATATGCAATTGAGAAACAGAAAGCAGTGACAATCAACAAATAAAAAAACCCAAAAGTAAATATTTCTGAGATAGTATCATGCCTCCTGGACTGTAACCACATGCTGTAGTCACAGATTAGCAAATGCACTTTCTAGAGCTGCTGCTGCTGCAGGCTTTGCATCTCACGGAACACACTAGGCACATGGAAAGGCTCTCTACCGTTTCTCCCACTGGGGTGGAAGCAGCTATGGTGTGAGGCCAAGGTGCAGGAGCTTCCAACATTGTAGGCGTCGTCCAGTCTCAGAACTGGACGTCTCGGACAGAGGCTTTACTTGTCTTTTCCTAACTTTTATTATGAGGCAGACTTTCCATACAGCAAAATGTTAATAATTAAAGTCTAGGCCTACATACTGTCAAAACTTTGCGGGTCTCTCAATCCATTCCTCTTAAATACCCAGAAAGGAGAGTGTGCTACACGGATTACCTCAATGCCTACTCAAATCGCACAGGGTGTGAAATTAATCTTTCAGTAATGAAGTTACTAGACCACGGAGCTTATATCATTTAAGCTGTGAGTTCAACTGAATGTAATCTATAGACTCCCTGTCCCCTCACCCCCAGACTGGAGTTCCTATAAATAAACTGCTGTTCACACCCACTCTTTAACCTCCACACTCTTGCCTTTCCTACCAGCTGCAATCTTTCTCCTTTGCTTCTTTTTCAAATTTTCTGTATCACTACATACGCTTTTTTTTTTAAAGCAGCAGACTCACTAAATTGGTTCCAAAATAGGATTAAACACAGAGAATAGAAAGAAATCTCGTTTCCTGGCCTGATATCCACAGTCATCCTTTACTATGCTCCCTGAGCTCATTCACCAACTGTTAAAGTGTTAAAATTCAACCACTAACCTATGATTACTCAATTATAATTCCCTTCAGCTTTCTGTAATACATTGTTAATACTTGGTTCATCAAGGTTGCTGTCTTTTGTTACGAAGATGCTTCAGGCACTTGGCAATAAGTCCATAGTCTGACAATAAGTTTCTACAGAGCAAAAGCACTTAGAACTGTAACATGCTCACTCACTCTTTTTATTCTGAATGCAGGGTAACATCACTATGATAATCAGGATTGGCTTCTCTGTGGAAGAATGGAAACCAGTCTCTACTCCCCAATTCTCTCTCTCCTTCAGTCCTCGCTTTCTCGATCCTGTCCAGCTAACTCTTCCCATCTCTGCTGTGTTGATGACTCAGCGGTGAGGAAGCAGAAGAGACAGCAGTCACCATATCAAACAGAGAGTTTGCTAAACACCTGCACCACCGAATCCAAAACTTCATACAATAAGAGCACAAATCACGATCAGCTTTCTGGTATTTGGCTGACAATCTTTAAAGAAGCGTGAACGGTACAAATGGTAACCCCCCCCCCCAAAAGAAGCATGCAAATGGTATGGCAGAAGTAGTGAGAAAAGTATAAAAAGACACCAACGTAATTCAACTCATTTACAAAACAAGGTCAGGTGTTGGAACAAATTGTCAAAAATAATATAACAGAATCTAAAATTCTTTGCCCAGTAGCCTTGTACGGCCAAAGGCTGGCAGACTTACATGGTCAGCGAGATTCGTGGAAGAGCCTGAGAGTTCTTCGTGATCTGACTTGGAGCTGCCGTCTCTTTCATCAATGACAAGGTCGATGGGCATTTTCCCCTTCAAACAGCTAATGTACCGGTGGCAGAAATTATCACACAGTTCATGGACCTAGGAGGAGGGTCATGTTGTTGTTGTTGTTTATTTCATTTTTAAAGAGGAAAAGGTATCAGGTTGCAAGGTTACTTTTGGAAAGAACAACAGTGTGATGTCTTCCAAACTAACTCTAATTAAGGGGTGTAATAGTTGAAGGCGAGGAAACAATACAGCCATTGTTGCAGCAGATATTACTCTCCAGAGACTTTCCTGAGCAACAAGTTACAATACAGACAGAGAAAGAAACAGGACTGGAAATGACTGCATTCAGATTGGGAGTCCAGGGAGGAAAACCTGATTCGATAATAGCATGAAAACATGAGAACGCTGGAGCTGGGGACAGCATTAATGTCTGTGTTTTCAAGAAGCCAGGAGTTTTGCATGCTTCCAGGGGGAAAGAGATTGATCTGACACAGCAATGTAAAGACACCTCAGCAAGGTCGATTCCTTATGCCTGCACTAGATGCAGACTGGGGCAGAGGGTAAGCTAATAGAGACACAAGCAGGCTGAGTGTCCAGGAGCATGAACGGTTTGCTGCATTTCAAAATAATCCTGAATGCCTAGGGGAAGAAGGGTATGTGTAGGGGGGTGGGGCGAAGGGGACTTTGAAAAGGTAGGGGATTCACTCATCCTCTGAGCCCCTGGACAGAGGAACAATTTGAAGGAAGCTTTTAGACTGGAGCTGCTCAACCCCACACACTGGAGTTATGTTAGAAGCATCCCAACCCACCCAAGAGTGAGCGTGCCTGTATCAGAACGTGAACATTATTTCCTGCTTACCTTTTCTAACTCCAAAAGATGAAACCTTAGTACTTGTATTGCTTGTATCATCTGAAAGAGTTTAGGAGCATGGAGTTAAGGCTCTGTGACTCTCCTGCCCTGGGGGCGGGGGGTGAAAGTGGTGGGGAAAGGCCCTTGGGCCAGGGGCAAGAAACTGGCAGGTGGCTTGGCAAAACCCACACACTAAGAAACAGGCAGAAAAACCAAGTGATTACTGATCATCTCTGCCTCATTGGCCACGGGATGAGAAACTGCCCCAACCTTTGCCTAGGCAGCAGTATCTCTCCCCCTGACGTTCACTGGGTTGTTTATGTGTAAAGACTGATTTCCTGGGTCCAGGCCTTCTTTAACTGCCTGAGTCCTCTTCAGATAGCCCCTCCCTCGACGTCAGCCCAAATCTTAAAAAAAAAAAAAAAAAAAAGGCCGCTTCCCTGGACAGCAAAGGCTTTTTAGAATAGCATACCCAGTGAAATCCGTCTTCACTAAAGAAGGAAATACTTCAGCTGAATGGTGAGGCTAGGCCTTTGAAAGCGGATTTAAGCACTTTTAATATTGAAATCGTGCAAATTAGCAAAAGAATCGCACCTAAAAGTGGCCTGCGCTGGCCCGCCCCTCACCCCCGTCCCCTGCCCGCCCTCAGCGTGCCCGCGGTTACTTCCTTCGGGTTAGCCGCCTGGGACTCGGCCGCCTGTCCCGGCAAACAGAGGAAATAACTCACTTCTTGCAGCCTACACCCGGGGCCGAGACCTGGGAATCAGCCCCAGCTCACGCTCCCGGCGAGTCGCCCCCTACGTCTGCCTGCCAGGGCTTCACCTTCCCCCATAACCCGCCCGCCCCCCTTCCCCCAGGCCTGTCGCCCCAGGCTCCCTGGCTGGGGGCTCTAAGCTGTCCAACCACTCCTTCCTTTCCTTACTTCTTCCTCCTCCCCTACCGCCCTAGGTCTCCTAGGTAGGACTCTAATCAAACTCTCCCAAGCTCCCCGGCAAAGGTGGGCGTCCTGGGCACGGAAGAGGGCGAGCAGGCCAGGAACTGAGAACCTTACCAAGTTGTCCAGCTCTGGATTTGAGGAGAAGAGTGGCTTCTCGGCGCGAACCTGTTAAGAAGCAGGGGAAGTCAGTGTGAATTATAACCCTCTTAAAGTGAAGAATTACCCTACCAGCGCCCCGCCCGGAGCGTGGACCGTGGCGGGGAGGAGAAGGGGCTTTAGTGGAGCACCAGAAACGAACTGGCGCCTTCAATTAGTGAGATCAGCTGTAAAACAATCAGGGCCTCCTGACTCTGGCCCCGCTGAAGGGAGACCTGGAACCAGCTGAGCTGAGGCCGGGAACTTAGGGCCCCTTCTCCCGACCCAGAGTGCGCCCTACCCGGCCGAACCCAAGGCTGCGGCGGTCTGCTCCCCCCTGCACCTCCGCGCCCCGAGCTACGCGCTCGGAGAGGCGCCCGGCTTCCTGGCCTTCAGGGCACTCCTGGACCCCTCACAGCCCCCTTTCCCCAATTTCTGTCCAAGTAGCTGCAGGCGAGGGGAAAAAGGCCAAGCCCCAGATTAGGAGTAGGTCAACTTTAATTCGAGGGTCGAGCCCCTGTATTCCTGGCTGGGGGGGAAAACAAACACCCCTATTTATCTCCGCGTCCAATTCGCCTGCAGGCTCAGGGATGGGGAGGAGACGCAGAGGGGCGGACTGGGCCAGAGGAACAGATCGGGTGTCCCTGCCTTTTCCTCCTCTTTCAAGTAGAGCTCCAAGGGAAGGGGAGGGGAGCGAGGGGCGGCCGGAGGGTGAGTGGGTCAAGAAGGCTGGACCTGCTTGGCGAAGACCGCGATGTCCTCGTTGAAGGAGTCCGAGGAGCAGACGTCTCCGCCGGCCACTCCGGGTTCCCGGGGCGTGCAGGTCGCCAGTTCGCACTTCTCAAAAACCAGAGCTAACAGAGGAAACAACGGGTGCCTAACGGGCAGCGCCACGCAGAGACACACGCACGGAGACGGGGGTGCAGAGGGGAAGGAGCGAGAACTGTAATCAGCAAGTTTGGAGGGTTCGGATTCCTTCCTTAACACAACAGGCACGCATCACACTGCACAACCCGTCCTTAGTCAGCCGAGCCTGGGCCAGAAACAGAAGGGGGGGGGGCACCGGCCTGGCCCTTTCTCTCTGTTCAACAGTCCCTCGGACCTCGGCAGGGAAGCCCTTGGCCACATGAGCCCGCCAAGTAAAAACAACCTCACTGGGATTCTCCTAGACAGACAACATCCGAAGAACTCGGGCCATCTGGAGCCCGAGTTTGGTCCAGGGCCCGTTGCCCACCACACGGAGGCCGCCCAACCAACCCCTGCGCCCTCGCCCCGACCTCCCAAGGAAAGGGCACGCTTTGGAATAAAAAAGATTGCTTTAATTCCGCATTTCCACGGACATATCAGACGAGGCCGCAGGCTGCACCTACATGCAAACGGGACTGACATTCCCTAACCTCCCCCACCGTCTCGTCTTATAAACTTGTTTGCTTAACTTCTAGTAAAGGCCGTGGGGTGTGTGTGTGTGTGTGTGTGTGTGTGTGTAGATGGGGTGGGAGGTGCAAAATTATAGGAATGTTAACCGCGGAAGAGCAAAGAGCTTCCTTCCAAAAGACTACATATCTGCCAGCGTTGCAGCAGACAAAAATAAATAAACCGTGTTTTAAAACTCGCAAGCGTGAGTGCGCGGGGGCCTTTTGTGTTCCTCCGGGCGACCCAGCTTTAGACTTGGGGGATGCTTGCGGTTTCTGGCTCCAGACTCACTGGGGGTTTTACGCACAATCCCCTCCCCTCGGTGTCCCGCCGCCGTCCCGCAGCTACCCCGCGCCCGGAAGAGCCCGCGTGGTACACATTTGGACCGTGCAGCCCACCTCCCCAGGTTCTCCAAGAATCTACAGTGACTTCGAGCAACCTCCTTTACCACCCTCTCCCCACCGCCAAGAAGAGCGGTTTGGTGCAAGCCTGCCGCCGCTTCCACCCGGCTGCACTTCAAGGTCTGCCCCCTTTATTTACAGAGAATTAAGAAGTGGGTGATTAGGACTTCCTGGCCGACAGAAAGCAGCCCTGATCCCAGCTCAAGCTGCATTTAGTGACTCCCAGACCCTCGGTAGGAAATCGGAAAGAGGAGAGAGACAGACGGACGACAGAAACACACCCGCGCGCGCACACAGAGCCAGCGAGACAAAGTTGCTCTTCATCCGCAGGAAACTTTCCCTTTAGACAAGGCCTCAGCGAAGGGGCCCGAAAGGGCCAGCCCTGACTCCCCGAGCCAGGAATCCCGTCCTTGGGGAAAAGGCCCCGGCAAGATTCGGAGGACTCCGTCACTCCCGAGCTTGAGAGAGCCGGACTGACCCGGCCGGCCGAGGGAGGGCAGGGGGCTAAACCTTCCGGGTCTCTCGCAGGGCACAGGAGCAGGCCCCCCCTCGCTCCACTGTCCTTTACTCAGAGATAAGCATGCCCCTCTTCTGCCCCCCGTGCAGAAATAACTCCCCGCTTGGCCGTCCACCCCCAGCCCCGACAGAGACAAACACACACCCTCTCACTCACACACGCAGCAAGCTGGGCCCGGGGTTCGGTTTACCCGTAGATCGCGTCCTTGTCCCGCTTCAAGGCGTCGTTGACAGCGGATCCCATACTGGCCGGCATGACATTGGGGTGCGGGGCGTGAGCGCCGTAGTGCTGCGTGGCGTGGAGCGGCGGCCCGTGGTTCAGGTGGTGAACCGGGGGGATCGGCCGCGGCGCGTGAGGGTCTCCGTACATGGAAGCGGGGACCCCTACTCCGTCCATCCCGCCGTAATGGGGCAGCTCATCGTACTGTCAGGACCCGGCCAGGGGAAAGGGGGAGGAGGGCGAAGACAAGGAGAACAGAGGGGGAGACGGAGAAGGCAGCCGAGGAGAGAGAGGGAACCGAGATGTGGCAAGGGGAGAGAGACGGAGCGAGAGAGCGAGAAAGACGAAGGGCAGAGAGGAGGAGGGGGAGGCAGAGAGGAGAGAGAGAGAGAGAGAGAGAGAGAGAGATAAAAATAAAAACAAAGTCAGAAAGCAGAAGAGTACCCAGCACAAGTTGAACACACGGAAGCCAAACCAGCCGAAACAACGAAGCTGAAAGTTGTGGGGAGGAGGGCGTAGCGGGAGGGGGGGCGGGGAGGAGGAGATGCTTTTAAATCTTAAAACCAGAAAGTATGAACCGAGAGCAGCGCCGAGAGCAGGGAAGGGAGGCGGAGAGGCCAAGGGCTGAGGGGGTGCCGGGAGGCCCCGCGCCCGCCGGAGGCAGCAGAGCCGCGGCGAGCCGGCCCGGGGAGAAGTGGAGTTAGCGGAGGAAGCCCCGGATCCCACCCCCCAACCCCCCTTCGCCTCCTCCAGAGGATCCAATAAATCAAAAGGCGAAATGAAACAAAATAAAGAGAAGGAAAACGCTAATAACCAGGACGAGAAAGCTGAAGAGCAGGGGGGAAGACCAGGGCCGGTGCCTCCCCGGGGGCAGGGAGCGGAGGGTGGGGGGTTGGGGAGGGGAATAACGTGAAAGTTACCAGAAACATTATTTAGCAGCGGATTCCCTGCGTCCTTGTCAATTTCAGAGACAAAACAAGCAGCCCAGGCTAGTCTAGGCGGCGGCGCACGGCTGCGGCAGCGCGGCCCCAGCGGCGGCCCCGGCGGCGGCTCCTACGCAGCGCCCGTGCCCGCCCCGAGCCGCGGGAGCAGCAGAAGAACCGGGGGAATCGCGCTGCCGGGGTAAAAGCTGGAGCCAGGCGAAAGCGTGTAACAATTGCACACGCACGCACACACACACACACACAGCACTCACACGCACTCGCCGCCCGCCTGCTCGCACAGCGCTGGAACACGCGCGCCTAGACACGCACACACGCACGCACACACACACTCGCACACACGCAGAGGCACGGGGGGGAGAGAAGCCGGTGGATAATTTTGCTGCTATTTTTTAAAATACTGGCCGCCATCATCAAGCAGCGAGCAGCAGCGAGCAGCAGCAGCAGCAGCAGCAACAGCAGCGTGGAAGGGAAAGGAGGCTTCGGGGCAGGCCCCTCTTAGGCGAGGATTTATATCTAGGTAAGTGTTGGAGATTTAAACCTACCCTTTGCGCCATCAGTCTGCGCTCCAATAAACTCCTGGATGTGTCGTATATTTAATATCCCAGTCCGGATAGGAAAGTGATCTACGCTGAAGATTCCTTTTTTTTTTTCCAAACCAAGGAGACTTCTCCCAATTTTCCAATATGTTATTTTTAGGAAAAAAAAAAAAGATCAGGGAAGACAACGAAGACTTTTTTTTTCCTGTGATATTTCTTCTTTTTCTGTTTTCCTCTTCTTCCTCCTCCTCCTCCTCCTCCTCCTGATCTTCCTCCTCCTCCTCCCCCCTCCCCTCCTCCTCCTCCTCCTCTTCGGTCCTCCTTTCCCTCTCTTTGGCTTCTCTTCCCCTCAGTTGGAAAAAAAAAATGAAAGAAAAGAAAAAGAAGAAAAAGAAGAAAAAAAAAATTGTCAAACCCCCGAACTGAAGGTTACGAGCGGCCCGTCAGCAGCCCACATGTAACCGAACTGTCGTGTTTCATGGCTTTTTGCCACTCCAGCTGTCAATCAAAACCCGGAATGTCAAGGTAGTGAATGAATGATGGTTGATGATGATGAAGAGGAGGAATCTTTCAGACCCGTTTTTTTTTCTTCCAGTAAAACTCCGCGAGGGGTTGCTGCTTCTTGAATGTTTCCTCCCCCCTCCCCACCCCCCCGGGCTGAGCTTTGCCCCAGCGATATCTAAGCTGGAATCCTCTTTAAAGTATTGTTCAAAAGAGAGCGGGGAGAGAGGGGAAAAAAAAATCAAGAAAAAAATGAATACTTTGCAAAAACTGGACTTCCTCCCCCCCTCCCTCCTGGTAGGTATTTTGTCTCTCCCTCTCTCTCTTGCTCGCTCGCTCTCACTCGCGCTCGCTCGCTCTCTTTCGCTCGCTCTCTTTCTCTCTCTCTCTCTGGGAGATGAGTGAGTGTCAGTAGGTGTTGGCAGGTTGGCTGCTGCCTGGCTTATAGAAGAGCCTCAGTTTGGCGGCGCGGGTCGGCGGCGGGAGAACGAAATGACGGAACCCGGAAGTCGTGGTGCCCAAAGCCCGTCGTACGGCGGAGACACATCCCGGGAGTGGGGAGCGGGAGCGAGGCGGAGCGCGCCGCGCCGAGCCTCTGAGACGCAGCGAGTGCGGTCCGACGGCCCCGGCCGGGGGGCGGGGAGCGGGGGGCGGCGGGGGAGGGGAGGCAGGGGCCGCGCGGACCGAGCAAATCAGCGAGCCGGCTCGTCCGCGGGGACGGGGCGGGGGCGGGGCGCGCGGGGCGCGGGTGTGCGCGCGGGTGTGCGTCCGCGCGCGCGCAGGGGCGAGGGAGCGCGGAGGGAACTGCAGAGAGCCGCAGGCAAAGTCCGGGGCCGCCGCGCCGCCTTTTCTCCACAACTTACTTCTAGTTCATTTTTTTTTTTTTTCGCCCCCATCCCTCCGGCCTTCGCTCGGACTCGGTCGTGCCGGGAAGGGCGGGGGAGACGCCCGGCCGGGCGCTCTCAGCTTTTGTTCCTCGGCCTTCGGCGGCCACCGGCACTCACCCGGCCACCCCCGGGTGCCGTCCTCTCAGCCCGCGGGCCGCCGCGCGCCCTGGAGCCTTCCTGCCTCACACCGTCCGAGGGCCGGCGGCTTCTGCACACCCTGCTACTTTAGCCGGGCTCCATTTTTTTTTTTTTCCCTCCCTTCTCTAAGTGGCAGTTTTTTCCCTGGGCAGGAGCAGTACCCCGGTTGTCAACATTCCTTTTTCTCCCCTCACCAGGACAAGAGGAGAGCAGCCTTTTAAACTGTGCCTCCTAGCGGAGCGGACGAGGGGCCACGCCTCAGAGTTTTGGGGGGCCGCCGCCGAGCCGGGAGGAAGCGGGGTGGCAGCCGCTAGGTGCTTGGCGGTGACTGAGGCAGACGCGCGCGCGTGTGGGGTGTGTGTGTGCCCGCGCGCGGCCGCCGTGCGCCTCCGGGTCTCCCCTGGGCTGAGGAGCGCGGCGAGCCAGACCCCGAGAGGGGAAAGCGTGGTGGGGGCAGAGCCGGTGCCTGGCGAGGAGGAGTGGCTGGCGCTCCCTGCCGAGCTTTGTTGTGGTCGCCCGAGGCGCTGGGGCCCGGCCGCGGTGCCGCCCGCTAATGGCTGCATTAATTACACTGGGGGCGCTTTTCGCAGGGAATTGGGGGGGGGGTTGGTTTGCGGTGGAGGGAAGGAGGAAGGGAGGAAGACGGGGGCCGACTGCGAAAGAACTTTTCCGAAAAGGAAAAGGAGAAGAGGTGGCGAAGGAAGGTAACTACCTCACACCGTTTGTGTGGAAAGTAGTTCTGGCCCGCGTCCCGTCCAATCCCCGGCTGGAGGTGCACCCGGCTTCACTTGGGGCGCGCTGGGCTCCCGGCTGCCGGGTGTCAATCACGCCGAGCCCAGAGTTAGGGGCGGGGCCACGGCCACCCCGCGCGCGCCGCGCTGCGGGACCCCCAACCCTCCCCCCCCAGCCACCTCGGCCCCCGCAACTTCTCCCGCTCGGCCTGGTTTATTATAGTCCCCGGCCGTGGACAGAGAATGGAGAACGCCGCGTTCTCCCCCAGCTGCCTCCCTCCCTTTGAAACGCATCCTGGAAAATAGAAAGTAGCGTATCCTGCTGCGCGTGGCTTTGACCCGACTTTTCTGCGCGCGGGGGCGGGTGGTCCGGGAATGAAGTACTTTAGTGTGCATGTTCGCGCGCGTGTCTGTGCGCGCGCGGAGGCGAGAGGAGGGAGGATGGGAGTACTTTTGGGGGGGGCGTTGGGGGACCCTTTCCATCTTCTCTGCTTCACTGTGAGCTTTCGGGCAACACAAATTCGGTTAAGATCACAGCCTGCAGAGACTCCGAACGGAGTCGGGGAAATTTGGCCCCGTTTTAATAGGGCTGGGGAATGAGCTCCGGAGGTCAATAAAACCCTCCAAAAATGATAAATGATGGAGCACCTGTGATGATGATAGTGATTACCAGAGCAATTAAACAGTTTGATTAAATGAGCCATCATAACAATGATGTCTGCGGGAAATCGGCCTTCACATATAAAGAAAGATAGTGTGGAGAGTGTCAGAGCGCGGATAGCCGGGGAGAGGAGCTGCTTTCGCCCCGGTGGCCCGTGCAGGGACAGCGGGTTCTCAGAGCTTCGGGGAGGAGAAGGTAGCTCAGGTGTTTGAACCCCTCTCTTTGTCTGGCTTCAAGCCTGCAAGAGGCGACGGGAAGGAAACCTGCAGGTTGGGGGGGGGGGGTGTCTTCTCCCTCCACCTTTCCCCTCTTTACCCCTCTGGAAGAACTCCAAGATTAAAACTATTCTTATCTGATGCTGAGTTGCTCGTCGGCCTATAAGCAAAAGGTGAGTAAAAAAATAAAAAATTACAGAAGGCGCAAAAAGAAAAAGCGGGTCTCCAGAATTTTATCTCAGGCAGTAGTGGAGTGAATTCAGTTGAGCCGGGATGGGAAAGATGAGCGGAAAAAGCCCCAGTGGTCTTGAGGCGGCGGTTATGGGCTGCAGAAGTGTGGAGGTTGCGGGGTCCAGGTTCCTGGTGCGTAGGCGCTGGCCGGGAGAGTGCTTAATTTTTCAGGCTTTCACTCTTCCCATGGTTTTTCAACTTGGACTTTAGGCATTGACTGTCGCCAGTGGGGTTAGGGTTGTTTTAACTGTCCTGTGAAACTAGCGTCAGTTACTTTTTTTTTTTTTTTGGAGAAGAAACTCAACTTCCTTGATAGAAAGCTTCCTTTTAAAGATCCTGCTGCTAGGGCAGCTTTGCATCACAGTTTTAACCATGCAGGGCTGTTACCTTCTCTTTTATCTCCGCTTCTGAGTGCTGTCCTGAGTCAGCATCACCGCGCCGTCCCTGAAAAGAAAGTCACTACTATGTTTCTCTGTAAAAAAAAAAAAAAACTTTCTTCCTTGGCAATGCTATTGAGTTTTTTAAAAATCAGACAAAATGATGACTTTTAAAATTTTGAACAGTTGTTGCGCTAATGATGGGTGGTTTATCCGGGGAAGATCTTGTATTTTACTACAGAAGAAAGGTGTATCATCTATCTAGTTCATCTCTTGGGCTGTGCAATATGCAGAAAGCTTTTATTTTTTTTTTTTTAAACCTGAACCCCTTCCTTCCTTTATCCTCTGTTGCTATCTGGTAATTGTTAACCTCCTTTACATTGTGTTCATTACATTAAATCAAATAACCAGCACAGCAGTCTGGTCAGGTGTAGGAGGGAAACCTAAATAGGACATTTTAAGACATTGCCAAACGGGGAAAAAAACTTTACTTCCAAAGATTTTAGCAGATAAATGCAAGAATGTTGAAAGTGCAGCTGTATTGGAGGAAATCTGTGTCATTTTAAAATTCTCCAAATGTCTAAAGGGAGATAGCACATTTCTTGCAACTTGAAAAGCTTTCCCTTATCCAGTTGCATGCCAGTTTCAAAACTGTTATTTAAAAATAGCAGTCCCCGTTTAGAGGATTGCGTGTGCAATCAAGTTGGGTTTGACCCAAGTTATTGGTTCTTGGTCAATCAGATGGATTTAAAGAATTATTTGAATCAGTGACTTGCTGGCGTTTTACTAATACAGCCCAAAAGGGCTCATCTGACCTTTACGATTTCCTGGCTTCTTCTCCCTTTGCCCGTTTCCCAGCCCAGTAGAAACCATTCCAAAGCAGTGGGATGCCCATACTTTTGTTTCTAGTCTGGTGGCATTTTGTTGGAGCCCAGACCTCCGCTCGGCAATTCCATCCAGCCGGTGGGGCTCCTAGGTTGTGTCACGTTTTGGGGTAAAGGGAAAGTAGGTGGGGCAGGCGGGGGGAGACCAGCCTAGAGGTCTTTGGAGTGGCACACACCTCCGTCAACAGTCAGCTCCTTCTGTCCAGGCTGGAAATGGTTTTAACAGGCGGTAAAATTTCATCTTGCGGTGTCAAATTGGGGTCATTTTGGGGTTAGAGTTCTCAGTGTCCGAGAGGAGCTGTCCAGCTGCGTGGGGACTCATTAACTGCAAAAGATCTGTTTCAGTAAAAACAATTCAAAGACAATCAGAAGGCTAAAGACCCTCTACAAATCGCATTTTACAAGTGCCCCAGAACAAATATGGATGGTGAAACCTATTTCTTCAGAATCCCAAATCAGCTACTTAGCTCTGGAGTGGGGAGTGGATTCATTGCTTTAAAAAAAAAAAAAAAAAAGAAGAGGTGAAAGGGAGGGGACCAAGCGGCTGGGGGTGAACAGGAGGGGGACTCAGGCCTCTCAAATTTAAAAGTCTGTTTTTAATCACCACTTTCTTATTAAAGCATCCCCAAGACTTCTGAAAACTGCTTCTTTTTAAAAAAAATCCTGTTATTTTTTGACCCAACATGTAATGCTATTTTAGGTTGCATTTA